AGAGAGAGAGAGAGAGAGAGAGAGAGAGAGAGAGAGAGAGAGAGAGATAGATGATGTGGAGAATTTTCTTCTAAATGTGAGCAAATGGCATGTGCAAAAGTAATAGCATGAAGATAGGGTAGAACACATAGCTAGTATGCACAAGGCCCTGTCTTCAATCTCCATCACAAAACAACAACAATGAAATTTAAAAAGGGGGCCTCCCAGAGACTGAGCCACCTTCCTCCCTCACAGAAATAATATTTCTGTTGGTGGAAGTTTCCTGTCTCAGAGCTGCTTAGTCCCAAATACCTGGGAGCTGCTTCCCAAATTACCACACAAAGGCTTAATATTACTTAGAAATGCTCGAGCAATAGCTCAGGCTTATCATTAACTAGTTTTTACATTTAAAGCTAACCCATATTCCTCATTTACTTACGCTCTGCCACATGGAAGTACCTTTCTCAGTACAGCACGCCTATCTTGCTATCTCGGTCAGTTTCTCCTCTGACTCCACCCTTCTCCTTCCTATCATCCTTAGTTTGGTCATCCTGCCTATACTTCCTGCCTGGCTACTGGGCAATCATTTTATTAAACCAGAGAGACAAATCTTTACAGTATATAAGAAGATTATTTCCACATTATTTCCTCATTTGTCTAATTAGAAAGGAAGGTTTTAACTTTCACATTAAGATTATATACAACAAAAACAGTTACCAAACAACAATTACAGTTACAATATCCAGTCTGTTTGTATTTGGCAAAATAAAAGAAAATATTTTATCATCTGTTTTACCTTTGTGAGTCCAAAGTTTCGTATCTGATTTACCTTTTATCATAACTAAAGAAAACTATAACTATCTAGCCTTCAACTCCATCAAAGAACCCAGAAGGGTGAAATGTTACCTAATGACAGAAACCATAAGCTACTTGGACAGTCACTGAAAGTTCCTCTGTAACATTGGGACATCAAACTCTGGCCTATAAGTCTAGTATATCTGACAGACTTTCCTCTGAAGCAGGGTATTTTGAAGGACCGTCTTACTTTGTATTGGCAAAGTTCAACAGTTTCCTTTCTTACGTCCTGCTGGTCCCGTTTGGGAAGTAACTGTCAGCAATTGAGGCAAGGGTAGTTTCTTTGCCCACATGGCTAGCTTTTGCCATAAAGGAAACAAATTCCATATGGAGTTTCTTCAATGCTCATCATCCTCTCTGAAGTAATTAGTGCTGTCAGGAGTAGACATGTCTCACTGTCAAGAAAAGTCTAAGTTATTAAAACATTTTAAATGCCATATTGTGTAGGTCTTTGAAGTGTTTGAAGATTGCTTACCTAACTGAAATAGATCTCTATATGAAATAGATCTCTGTATGTATATTGAAAATATACCTGACCAAGTTTGCTATTATCGGTGTCCATTAATTTGTATTTCTTAATTATATATTACATTTTAAATGAGCTGCATAAGCATCATACCCAAGTAAGAGTAGAATTATTCATACAGTATAACAAAATTAACCTTAAATTTGTATTTATAAACCAAAATCTATACCAATGTAAAATATTTGAATTCAAGAAGATTTAATAATCTATCTTTTTATCCTATCATTTCTATATCCTATCCCCTTTATTTTAGAAAGATATCTTTGAATTTAATTCTTTTGTTTAGCTTTTTTTTTTACTATGACCATTAACAATTTGTAGCCAAGTCTGCTATACAATGACAAATATTCATAATATATTTTGGGAAGGGAATGCGGGTATAGTTTTATAGGTTACTTCCTGCTGATTGGGAGCACTGGTAATCTTTGGGGGACTCTGAGAAAATTTAGGATATGGTCAAGTCCTGACTGGAGTATTCTGTATGATTGGATCACCTCAACCAGTCACCTTGAAGCTGTTCTGGATGTAGAACTCAGAAAAAACTGCTCCTCTGAGATACTGACTCGTTGGAGACATCAGCTCCTTTCAGAGATTTTCCAGGGGGTCTTCCTTGATCAAACCTGATTTTTCTTAACCCATAATGAATCCACAGCCTCTCATTTCCCATGGAAATAAAAGCAGAATCTCTGTCCCAAAGTAACATACCTTTTGACTTAAATTTTGAAGTCAAGATATTTTTTAAAATATATAGGAAGGTTTAATCTAACAGCTTTCATAATCAAATGTCTCTCAGCAGTTATTTGCTCAAAAAAATCTAAAGACAATGCAATAATACACATAATTCAGATTCTCTGTGTATTTCCCATCTTTATGTGGATTATCATATTTTATTACTCTTATTTATTTCTTAAAGACTTTATTTTACCCTTTTTCTTTTCTCTCCCAAGCCTACATATATATTTTTAAACACACTGTAATCTATTTATAGGTCTCTTTCTTTCTTTGTTCTGTATCTATCTTTACTGCATATCTCTTTTTCTGACCACATGAGTCTTTTTTTTAAAGATTTATTTATTTACTAAGTATACAGTGTTCTGCCTGTATGCATGCCTGCAGGCCAGAAGAGGATACCAGATCTCATTACAGATGGCTGTGAGCCACCATGTGGTTGCTGGGAATTGAACTCAGGACCTTTGGAAGGGCAGACAGTGCTCTTAACCATTGAGCCATCTCTCCAGCCCCCTGTTCCCCCACTCCCACGAGTCTTTAAACTGCTAAATGGTTTGACGAGGACCAAAAAGGCACCTTTGGCAGCTGGTTTTAATCCATTCCTTTGTTTCCTGAGTGCCTAGCTTCATGGCATCAATACCAGTTGGGACCATGTTTACCATCCCAACTTTAGAAAATTTCTGAGTTCTGTCCCTGAGTAGTGTGCCACCCACTGTTCATAAATCTCATTTAAGTGTTTGGTGGCAGGATCTCTTACAAGAGCCATAGGGTTTCTGCTGCTAATGCTGAGTCAGGAAACCATCTTTTAAAGGAGCCGTTCTCTCTCTCTGCTTGCCGTCAGCAAACAGAACCTATCCAAGAAAAAATGGTTACCAAGAAGCTGAGTTTGACTCCATTTTTGTGTGTTTAGAATTCTTTTTAAAGCTTTTTTAGGCTTTATGTGGAAATTCTTGCTAAACGTTTTGGGCTCAGTCCCAGCTAGCCAGCAGCCACTTCCCAAATTACCACACAGAGGCTTAATATTACTTATAAAGGCTCAATCAATAGCTTAAGCTTATTATTAACTAGCTTTTACATTTAAAGTTAACCAATACCCCTTATTTATGCTCTGTTACATGGCAGTACCTTTTCTCAGTACAGCTTCCCATCTTGCTCTCTTCATGTCTGGCCAGTGTCTCCTAACTCTGCCCTTCTTCCAATCATCCTTCGTTTGGTTGCCCCACCTATACTTCCTGCCTGGCTACTGGTCAATCAGCATTTAATTAAACCAATTTGAATGGCAAATCTTTATGGGGTACAAGAAGATTATTCCATAGCATACTTCTTCCAATAGGAGCCAGCCATTTTGTTCTTCTTTGAGTTTAATATTATTACATCTTTGATATGTAACAGAATTTGTCATTTCATTTCACATTATCTATTACCACTCTATTTCATAGACTAAGATAATTAAACCATCAGTGGAAAAACAGTAAATAGAAAGGGATTCTATAGACCTCTATGTATAGGGTACATTGTTGGGTAGTAGATCAAATAAAAATTTTTGTCAAAGCCTTCGCTGGCTTGGAACTCAATATACAGACGAGGTTAGCCTCAAACTTGGAGACTCACCTGTCTGTGCCTCGTTTGTACTGGTATTAAAGGTATCCCCACCACACTCAGCGAGTACTTTTAAAATGTCTATGGTACTCCTTTCCACTTCTATCTGCTGCAACTCACCTTTAAAGAACGCCTATAAAAATTTTATGGGAATAAAATGCTTGCTGTCCAGTTTACAGCTATTATATATAACTCTTAAGTACTTTGGGTGACAGGGTCTTAGGTAAAAATAAAAGGGGCAAGGAAGAGAAACGCTTTTATTTGCTTTTCCTTGAGCTGCCTTCTGAATTGAACTTTCTCGTCCATCTGTGTAGCTGATTGTGTTTTTCCAGTTGAGGTCCTATCTCCGGTTTTCTAGGCACGTCTTGCGTATTTCCACTTCGTTTCTGTTTTATTACAAATAATTCTCCCTGTCCACACTATCTCTGTTTCCGAACCCAGAAGGCCGAAATCCTGGAAAGCCAAGTTCCCTAGTTCCTTTCGGCTTTCGCATCACTCGAAGGGCGGAAGATGGCTGTTTCTGGTATTGAGCGGGCGTGCGCACGCGCACCACGCCTACCCAAGCAACACCTCAGAAACGCCTCAGTTCCCAGGGACGGAACCAGAATAGAGACCCGGTTAGAGACGGCGAACTACGTTTCCCAAAGTGCAATGCGAGAAATTGCCGGCGGCGATTGGGACAAACGGTTCGGGCTAGTCGGCCCGCTTTGGACTACACTTCCCGACACGACGTGCGAGGCGTTGCCAGCTGCGGGCCGAGGGCGGGTTGACGCGGGAGCTGGGGACGTGAGGCATGAGCGGCGCCCTCCCTCGGCCTGTGCGCGTCCTGCTACCTCTCCGGAGCGCGAGGGTCGCGCGGCACGGGGCCTAGCGGCGGGCATCGGCGTTCCCAGGGGCAGGTGCAGCGGCGCGGGCGCCGCGGAGCGCAACCCCCACCCTCCAGAGAAGCGGCACGAAACACAAACCCCGACGGACGCAGCCGCACAAGCCGCACGGCCCCAGCTCCCACCTCAACC